TAGGGAAGCACCAGGCTACAGCTCAAGTTCAAGAAAAATGCTCAGTCTCTCTCCCAGCCCACCGTCCCTCGGCCAACAGTCTCTCACAGTGTCTTTCCCAGCAGCACTGGTCCCTCGGTGTCTCACTCAGCAATGCGTGTCTCTTGCGTCTCTTTCCCAGCAACACCTGTCTCTTTCAGGGGCGCATGTCTCTTTCGGCAGCACGTCTTCCTCAACCAGCAGTCAGAGAGAGTGTTCTGCCTCCAGGAGGCCTCCTTTTGAGCCCAGCAGGGTGGTCAAACTAGCCAATCATAGCATCAGAACTCTAAGCACCTGAGAGAAAGTGGGCACCTCCCAGAACATTGTTTTGTGCCACTCCCAACAGAAATACTCCAGGTGGACACCTTCAGCAATCAGGAGCTCCTCAGTTGCTCATAGCAAATCCCACCTTGGAGTTTACAAAGACTTATGGGTAGAAAAGCCACACAAAGTAATTTACTATACCACAGTAATGGTATTTTAAAGAAAAGTTAGAAAATATACCAAAGATGTGTGTGTATATATATATATCTTCATATTTTCAGTGTGCATACAAACGTGGCTTAATTAATACCCCTTTAATTGATTTTTATAATTTGTACATTAAAAAAAATTTAATGTGAAGGGTATTTTATACAACATAAAATTCTTCTATCCTTTACCAAATGTACTTATTTCCAAATTTATTGTATTTCTATGAGAATAATCCTGCCCTCCAGGCTTTATCAGGCTACCTTTGACTACCGTTAGTCAGTTTACGTAAATCATGCTTTTCTTTCGTAGCAAACTCCTTCCAAGTAAGTTGCCACCCACTACACCCAGCATGACTTGCCTTTGTTGCAATTGTGTTGTTTCCTCTGGAGAAAGTTCAGTTCTATACAAAGGAATAAAAATAACTGTCTTATAGAACTTATATTTCAGTTTAACCTACTCTGACCAAGAATGAAAAAGAGACATGATGAACTATATTGTAAACTGGAAAGCTGGATGGCACTGATTGCTATAAGGAAACAAAAAGTTGTATGACATATTAGCTGGAATGAAGTATTTAAAATTTTATATTTGCTATTTTGGAAAAGATGCTCTACTGGCACAGTGGTTAATGCATTCAGCTGCTAACCAAAAGTTGTTGTTGTTGTTGTTATGTGCCGTCGAGTCGGCCCCGACTCATAGCGACCCCTCCTTGGGTTTCCGAGGCAGTATCACTACGGAAGTAGGATTGCCCAACCTTCCTTCCGAGGAGTGGCTGGTGGGTTTGAACCGCCAGCCTTCTGGTTAGCACTCAAGTGCTTTAGCCACTATGCTACCAGAGCTCCAAAAGTTAGCAGGTTTCAAATCACCAGCCGCTTAGTGGGAGAAAGACAAGACATTCTGCCTTGGTAAAGATTTACAGCCTTGGAAACCCTATGAGGTAGTTCTGCTTTGTCCGGTGTGGTTGCTGTGAGTCAGAATCTACTTGATGGCAGTGGGTTAATTTTTTTTAAATTATTATTTTATTTATTTATTTTTTTTTTGAGGAGAGCCACAGACCAGACATCCTGCTGAAAATATTCATGACAGAAGAGAACATCAGCAAAGCCAAATACCCTGAAGACAGAATATTTCTGGATTATTATAGGAACTTAAAGGAGGCCACTGTTGAACTAGAAGGACTGTCATCACACTGAGCATCTGCTTAAAACCATATATGGTATGTTGTTGTTGTTGTGTGCCATCGATTCACCTCGACTCGTAGCAATCCTTCCTTGCATTTCCTAGGCAATATCACTAAGGAAGTGGATTGCCCCATTTTCCTTCCGAGGAGTGGCCGGTGGGTTTGAACCGCCAGCCTTCTGGTTAGCAGTCAAGTGCCTGAGCCACTATGCTACCAGAGCTCCGTATATGGTATAGCTCCTGTAAAATTTAATAATTGTTGTTGTTATGTGCTGTCCAGTCGGCCCCGACTCATAGCGACCCCTCCTTGGGTTCCCGAGGCAGCATCACTACGGAAGTAGATTGCCCCATCTTCCTTCCGAGGAGTGGCTGGTGGGTTTGAACGGCCAGCCTTCTTGTAAGCAGTCAAGTGTCTTATGCACTAGGCTATCAGCCTTCAAATGCCTGTGTGTGTGTGTGTGTGTAATATGTGTGTGTGAGAGAGGGGGGCGGGTGAGAGAGCGAAGGAGAAAGATTCTGTTTAGATTTTCTGTTGTGCAAGTAAAATTTAAAAACTCAAAAACTCTAAATCCTTCCTAAATGCACATTGTACTCATATGGATTTCTAATTTGAACTTTAATTCTTTCAGTTTGAGTTTGCATAAGTCACTCTTACTGGAGAGTTTTTTTTGTTTTGTTTTGTTTTGTTTTTGTTTGATTTAACTGTTATTGTTTGCCGTCTAGAGGATGGAAATGAAAGAGAGAAATAAAGCAGATGGCAAAGTTAAAGCAGATGAGTTTTAATTTTTTTTGTTTTTGTTTTTGTTAACTCTCCAATGAAGCCTGGTAGATGACTTAAGAGGATGAGACAAAACGTAAACAGAATACTTGTATCTAACCAGAAGGCAGGCGGTTCACACCCACCAGCCACTTCTGGGAAGGAAGATGGGGCAATCTACTTCCATAGTGATGCTGCCTCGGAAACCCAAGGAGTCGCCGCTATGAGTCGGGGCCGACTGGACAGCACATAACAACAACAACAACATACCCCTTACTCAGTTATAAAAGAAGAAAATCAAACGAGCTGTGTAAAAAGTTCTAACAGCACTTTCATCAGTGATATAAAAAGCAGGAGTCAACAACTCTAAGCCATAATGTCAGAAAGTTATAATATATTTGGATAAATATTAAAAAAAAAAATGTGGCTTTCACTGTGAGCATTATCTATTAACAATGGAAATAAATTTATCAATAGATCAGTGAAAATCTAATGAAAAGAAATTCTTAAACATTGTTATAAAGCATGATGAGTAGTATTTAATTGCAGTGTCTGTATTTTTACTTTATATTATGCATAATATTAATCACATTTGTTAATTTAATGGATATTATTTGCTTTTAAACATGAATATAATTATGAGGGTCATTTTTCACCATGAGCTCTTAATTTCATCAATAGTTTTTTCTTATGTGGGAGTTATTACAAACATAACTCTCTAAAGTAGAAAGAAACAATTGTTTTATGGTGGGGACCATTTATATAATTAATATTGAGAACGCAATTGATATTGTGAAAGTGCTTTATTAGATATTCCCCATCACAATTTCAATGAAAAAGTTCAGCGTCCTTATGACACTTTAATTATAAAGAAAATGAATTGAAAATAGAGAAATTTAACTCATGATGAAGAGCATGGCTTAGAATTAATAAGGTTCTGATCTACAGTTCTTTTATTTTTTCCCTATTATTATCCAGACTGTAGCATTTAATATAAAAGTCCTATTTGTAATGCCACTGTGGGGTATGCTTTATTCTTCATACAACTTCAGTTACATTTGTATACAAAAGAAATAGATTATTTTTTCTGATTATAAATTTCATTTAATCTCATTAACGTGAGGAAAACAGTATCATTTAGGTTATTTATATCTTTCTAGCCTATTTTACACACCACTGTATAATATAAATATTAACAAGGCTCCAGTGGCTGCAAAAATTTGATTAAATATGGTCTAACATGAGATCCTGCCATTAACTCAGAGCCCTCATGTGATTTCCATGGCCATTTCCCCCCATGTTTCTCTCTGGATTGTGTTTCTGTATCCCTGTCTGTATTAATTTTTGCTGTATCTTCTAGGTTACAGTCCTCAGGTGCTTCACTGTTTTCTACGAAATCAATTCGGCTATACTAGGGAAGTTTTATGTTTATTAAAAATTATAAAGTCCAGCAGTATTACGGTGATGAGTGACATCAGTAACTACAGCATATTTTATTGTCTCACTGGCTCCCCTTCCCTGCACTTTCTGCTGCCTGTCAAAGCCAAGGCTCCTGACAAATGATATTTCCTGATGTCTACAACATGGTGGGTTGTGAGAGTCACACAGAACAGATAGCTGTCTCTATCCCTATCAATATGTGTAAATATGAAAAAGTATTCAAAGCCAAGTAATTATTTTATTTCTCCATGAAATAGAACAAAATTTTATGAAGATCAAGATAAAATGAATAAAAACTTCAACAATGCCAAATATATTACAGCTGCTAAATAAATACTGTTACTATCCTATATATCTTGTATAATAACATTATTATATTGTTGCCATGGTTCCATAATTTCACTTTTCATTAATTAAAATATATTTTATAACCCAACTTACACTTAAGAAAGTAGAGAAAATAAATAAATGACCACTACATTCCTACCATTCTTATTTGCCAAAAATATTCTGTTAAGAAATAAAGAATTATAGTTCCAAGGGGAGTCCAATCTCTACTTTCCCTGTGTTTCTCCCACCTCTCTCCCTGTGTTGTTGTTTTTGTGTGCTATCAGAGTTGATTTTGACTTCTAGTGACCCCCATATGACAGGGTATAGCTGCCTTATAGAGTTTTCTAGGCTGTAACATTTATAGGAGCATATTGCCAGGTCATTTCTCCCATTGAGTGGCTGGAAGGTTCAAACTTCTGACCTTACAAACAACCCACCAGACTAATTTTATTTTCCCCCTTGTTTAAGAGTTTAGACTATTTATAAGTGTGATTTTATCTAAAGGAAGATATATCAACAGAACTCAATTAGCTACATATTTATAATAAAAATACAGTATACAACACTTACTAATGTATTTCCAAATCTAATACTTATGGGAAATAAGTTAAAAATACCTACTGTTAATGACTGTATGATTAATATTTATGTATATATAAATACACACACACACACATATATATGAGGATATGAGGATATATTTCTCTACTCTTAGACTAATAAAAATATTTGAAGTATACAAAGGCTGAAGCCTTTGTATTTTGAAGTGCTAAATTACTTTGATGTATATTAAATTACTTACTCTGAATCTTCCAGTTATATTGAAACACCATCCTTCATTTAGACAGTTGATGCTGAGTGGTTTGCAGTTGTCAATTTCTTCCTTACAATTTTTTCCAGTAAATTCTGGCATACTGTTGTAAAGACATCAGTACAAATTAGAAAAGTTGCAATTCAAATATTTTCACAAAAGTCTATTAAAAATCTACTTAATATTTTTAATTTATATCACAATACATATTATTACATGTTATTTCCTATTCTATTCATTATTTTTGCCCCTATTTACCTGTGCTTTTAGAAAGAAGAAAGTTTTATTTATTTGGAGAAAATCAGAGTAAACTCCATTTTTCAATGAATGGTCTTAAAATTATCTTTTGTGAATTAAAGTACAAAATTACACTTAGTTTAGTCTAATACTTAGCAATACAATATAACTTTTGAAAAACTACTGGAACAAATAGGATCCTTAGTGAATTATATCTAAAAAATTAAACCACATGAGATTTTGTATGCTTGGTGGAGTCATGCTGCTAGCAGGAGATAACATTTGAGTTTGAGACATAATATAGACATAATATAGAATCTTGAGAATAATGGTTTATTAGGACTAATGATAGGGTGTATGTTTTTTACTTGTTTTCTTTTTCTTTTTTTTTTCCCCCAGAAAGATAACTGTGTTCTACCCTATTGCAGTTCATTAGCTCCACTCTGTAAGGAGATAAAGAACATAACCACATCTTCTGGCCCCCTTTGCCCTCATTCTCATTATTTTTGTGAGAAATTTCCATGCACTTCAAGTCCTACTTAATAAACATTTTTTCTTATTATAAAATGAATGGAACACTGAAATGGGAGTATGTCTCTGTAAACAAAGTGCTAAGCTTTTAAGACCAAATAGTACTGTTCAATACAAAACTGTTGCAAGCTGATTTGATAATGAAAACACTATATGGCTGCAAACATATATACATTATTTTAAAATTTCCAGAATAGCACAGGATGATTTCATAAAAGAATCAAAGGTCATGGGGACAATTAAACTAAAATAGAATGAGTAAAATATTATAATAGCTTCTCTTCTCTGCTAGGTGAGCACTTTCATTTCGAGGAAATGAATCATTCACTAATATGTCAGGAATAACCATCCTACCCAAGGAGGGTTATTCCTGACATATTAGTGAGTGATTCAGTTCCTCGAAGTGAAAGTGCTCACCTCATAGTGGCTAAGGCACTTGACTGCTAACCAGAAGGCTGGCGGTTCAAACCCACCAGCCACTCCTCAGAAGGAAGATGGAGCAATCTACTTCTGTAGTGATACTGCCTCGGCAACCCAAGGAGGGGTCACTATGAGTCGGGTCCGACTTGACGGCACATAACAACAACAACAACAACCCAAGGAGGGGTCGCTATGAGTTTCGTTTTGGAAGTAACACTGATGGTTAAAGCATCCTGCTGCTAACCAAAAGGTCAGTGGTTCAAACCCACCAGCTGCCCCACAGGAGAAAGATGAGGCAGTCTGTTTCCATAAAGATTTGTAACCTTGGAAACCCTTTGGGGGCTATGAGTCAGAATTGACTTGATGACAAATGGGTTATTTACTTGTAGTATGCTATGCTAACTGAAAAGTTGGCAGATCAAACCCACAGAGGTGCCTTCGAGGACAGTTCTGCTGATCAGCTTCCAGAAGATCACAGCCTTGAAGATTATGGAGCAGATCTACTCTGCACTCATGGGATCATCATATGTTGGAATTGACATAATGGAAATCGCCTCATTTATGTAGTGCTATTATAACAGAAATATCACAAGTAGATGGCTTTAAAAAACAGAAATTTATATTTTCACAGCTTGTTGTTGTTGTTGTTAGGTGCCAATGAGTCAGCTCCCACTCATAGCGACCCTATGTACATCAGAACAAAATAATGCCAGGTCCTGCGCCAGCCTCACAATCTTTTTTATACCTGAGCCCATTATCACAGCCACTGCATCACTCCTTCTCTTTAAGGGTCAACCTCTTTTTTCATTGACCCTCCACTTTACCAAGCATGATATCCTTCTCCAAGGAATGGTCACTTCTGACAACATGACCAAAGTAGGTGAGACAAAGTCTGGCAGTTTTCACTTCCAAGGAGCATTTTGGCTTTCCTCCTTCGAGGACAGACTTGTTAGTTCTTTTAGCAGTCCATGGTACTTTCAGTATTCTTCACCAACACCATGACTCAAAAGCATCAACTCTTTCTTTGGTCTTCCTTATTCATTGTCCAGCTTTCACATGATGTGAGGTGATTGAAAATACCATGGCTTGGTTTGGATGCAACTTATTTTTCAAAGAGACATCTTTGCTCTTCAGCACTTTAAAGAAGTCTTTTACAGGAGATGTACCCATAGTTTGTGAAGCAGATTTGTCCACGGCTTTAGAAGTAGGATTCCAAATTCAGAATGCAGGCACTAGAGGAAGGCTTTCTCTGTCAACTTTGGAGGAAAGTCCTTGTCTCTTCAAGCTTCTATTTCTTGGCTACTTGGTGATTTTCATGGGCATAGCATCTATCTTTCTCCATCTCTGATTTCTTGCTTACTTGTTTAATCTCTTTTGTATATCAAAAGACGTTGATTTAAAATGTATCCAACACTAATGCTGTCTTAATAACAAAACAAAGACAACCTATTTGCAACTGCAATTATAAACACAGAAACAGAAATTGGGATTTACAACATATAGTTTTGGAGGATACAATTCAATCCATAACAATGAATAACAACAACTACATGCAATCTTAGAGATAGCTCAGGACCAGGGAATATTTTATTATCTTATATATGAGCTTGTCATGAGTTGAAGTCAAACTGACAGCAACTAAGAACTAAAAATATGCCAGCTACTTAAGCCAATTATTTCTACACTTTTTTTTTTTTTAATTTCCTTATTCATTCCTTATAATCTCTGTGTGATGTAATTTATTACCATAATGTGAGCTATGGTGGCTTAGTGCTACTAGCCAGAAGGCTGGTGGTTCAAACCTACCAGTCATTCCTCAGAAGGAAGATTGGGCAATCTACTTCTGTAGAGATACCAGCTTGGAAACCCAAGGAGGGGTCGTTGTGAGTTGAGTTGAATCAATGGCAGCGAGTTTTTTTTTTTGTTGTTGTTATAAATGAGGAAAACATTTTATGAGAGGTTATTCCTTATCTCCACCATATCACTTACAAATGTTAGTGCTGTTACTAATATTAGGCTTTGTCCAATTTAAATGTATTATGCTCTGCAACTCTATAGTTGAAGATATGTTAAATATGTTTACCTTAATTCTCTAATTTTGAGGTTTTACCTAAGCCAAAACCAAATCATTTGCCATCCAGTAGATTCTCATGGCAATCTATATGTATCACACATGACTCATGACAGAACCATGTGTGTCAGAGTAGAATTGTGCTTTATGGCGTTTTCAATGGCTGATATTTCAGAAGTAGGTCAGCAGAACTTTCTTCTGAAGCACCTCTGGGTTCTTTTAAACTGCCAATGTTTCAGCTTGCAGCCAAGAACCATCAAGGGACTCTTGCTGCCCACCCAGAGATTCAAAAATCCGTCCAAATACTACCTTGCTATGAAAGGTACCGTTTCTACTTTCTTGCATTGGACTCAGAAGCAGAAGCAAGCATTAACATATTCTACATTTTGGCAGATCCAGATGAGGAAAAGGAACCCAGGTATGCCCAAAGCATCAGGGCAGGAGAACCGTACAGGGGAGAGGAATAAGCTCGGGACTGGGACCGACAAGGAGTAAGCTGCAGGGATCCAAGTGAGGAGAGGGAACCCAGGCATGCTCAAAGCATCAGGGTGGGAGAACTAGAGAGGGGAGAGGAATAAACCTGGGGACCAGGACAGAAGAGGAGTGAGCCATAGGGATCGAGGTGAGGAGAAGGAACGAGGCATGCCCAAAGCAGAAGAGCAGGTGAGCAGGAGAAAGGGGAAGAAAAGGCCCAGTAACCAGGACAAGGAGAAGTCAGCTGCAGGGACCCAGGTAAGGGTGGTAGGAGAGGTTTCCAACAGGGAGACAAACTTGTCTGTCGATTTGTCCTAAAGTGGTGATGTGTTGATGTGAGTTTTGACGTTGAGGCACTGGTGTTTCAAACTCAGCAGGGTGCATATGGTGCATAGGTATCATCCCAGCTTACAAACTGAGACAGACTAGGAAGAAGGAAGAGGCCATCCACTTCTCAAAGAATTGGCCAGGGAAAACCTTGTGAATAGCAAAGAAACACTGTCTGATACATTACTGCACAACTTTATGAATAGTCTGGTTAGGTTAGAAGGCTCTCAAAATAAGACTGGGAAAGGGCTTCATCATCAGAGTAAACCTATCCTTACTCACATGGATAAGGTAAAGCTTTTGAGACCTCCATTTACTGATGTGGCATCAGTCAAATTGAAGAGAAACAGCTGCAACATCCATTAATCATCAGAACATGGAATGTATGAAGTATGAATCTAGGAAAATTGAAAGTTGTCAAAAATGAAATGGAACACATAAAGATTGATATCCTTGGCATTAGTGAGCTGAAATGGATGAATTTTGGCCATTTTGAATCATACAACCCTATGATCTACTATGCCAGGAATGACAGTTTGAAGAAGAATGGTGTGGCATTCATCATCACAAAGGATGTTTCAAGATCTGTCCTGAAGTATAATGCTGTCAAGTGATAGGATAATATCCATACACCTTCAAGGAAGATCCATTAATATGACTATTATTCAAATTTATGTACCAACCACCAAAGCCACAGATGAGGGAATTGAAGATTTTTATATACCTCTGCAGTCTGAAATTGACTGAACATGCAATCAGGATGTGTTAATTATCACTCGTGACAGGAATGCAAAAGTTGGAAACAAAGAAGAATCACTGATAGTTGGAAATTTTGGCCTTGGTGACAGAAATAATGCTGGAACTTGCATGGTAGAATTTTGCAAGACTAATGACTTATTCATTGCAAACACCTTTTTTCAGCAACACAAACAGCAGCTCTACACATGGACTTCACCAGATGGAACACACAAGAATCAGATTGACTACATCTGTGGCAAGAGGTGGTGGGAAAGCTCAATATCTTCAGCCAAAACCAGGCCAGG